TTTAAAATCTTGCTAAATTATTTAGTACTACATACCACAGACTGATTAAATTTTGCACAGAGTAGTGAGATTGTTTCCCAGGTAGGTCATCACTCAGTTCAGTTTACCACTTAAAATTTCTTTCATTCTCAGTCAAAATACAGGAAGGGCCATCCATCATTATCAGTTTGTCCTTTAATTTTTCTGTCAGCCTTTGTCAAGCTTGAAACAAAAGCCTTTACATTTTTATCAACTGCAGCTATTGTTGTCAGAATTGTGCTCAATCATTTCAGAATATCGGTTGTGTTTTTACCAAACAAGTAAAATATTTTCAATAGGTCAGATCTATCTTTCACATAAGCCCGCTAAACCAAACAGAACCATTTCTCATTTCATTGGAAATGGAGAGTAAAAATGCTTAGGGCCAAATCGGCAGTGAGAGTAAATTGTCCAGGCTCCCTGCACTTAAATGGATGAATGTCTTCTGCCTTAGTAAAAAGAATGCAGCATCAATTCAAGGAAGAAGCAGAGGCGAACAGGAAATTATGATCGGGCAGGGCTTGACAGTGTTTTGAACAGATCTTGCACAACACTTTTCTGCCGCTCATAAACAGACTACACCTGCGCCTCTGCTAAAGAGTAGCCTCCAGACCAAGCCAAGCGTTGCGTGCTCCTCCTTTTTCCACTGTCCTCTCGCAGTCAGCCGTCACATTACCTGCTGTCTGCCTTCACCTTGCCAGTGCTTGTGTAGCTTGATGGTATGCTAACAAACAGTAGTGGCCGTGAAGAACACCTTTTTTAAACCTTCCCCATACTTTTCTCTGCATCCACTGAACTGTGACATTACGTCAGGTTCTCACTGAGAAGAGAATTCTTGGTTGAGCATTTGTGGCTCAGCTCAAACCTTTCTGTGCTGCTAGAGAGAGGTTAGGAGCCCATCTCTTTCTTTGAAAATCCAGTTCAGGTCTTACCTGTATAACCTGTGGGAACACACGTGAAAAAGAGTTGGGACGGGAGTCAGTAACTCCCCTTGAAGTCTAATCCCTTTTCTATTTCCAACAACTTTTATGGAAACGATTAATTCTCTGTTAATTGTTTGTATTTCAGAGGTAGCAAGGTGATGGAATTAATACCAACTTAAATACAGTAATACATTTTTGACTGAATATCTGTCTGTCAGCGAACATTCATTCTAGGAGTAAGGATTCAAAATTCATGGTGGCAATTACTGCTTGACTTCTAGATCTCTGAGCATGGCTTTTCTATCTTCTTTGGTTCCCCATCTGCAAAATATAGCTATTTTCTGCTTCACAGGAGGCTCAGGATTAATACCTTAGTATTATTGAAATAGCAATCTGGTGCATTGATTTGGGTATGGCTACTTGAATTAAAAAGTTCCACTCTACAAAGTCTCTTGGTCATAATGATCCTGGGTATTTAGTGGCATGAGAGTCATAAACAAAAGTTTGTTTTCAGCTGAACATTGTGTACAACTAGATTCAGAAATTGCAAGATGAGAAAATGGAATTAAGTCTCACTCCAACAGAGGATTCTTGGGCAGAAATCTGCAAATCCCTTCTGTTAAGATCATTCTTGACAGAGAGCTCAAGAGGACAAATCTGCGTAATCACTTGGGTAGCATGTTTCCAAGCAGCTCCAGCAGGGAGCTGCATATAACATAACATAACATAACATAACATAACATAACATAACATAACATAACATAACATAACATAACATAGATGTGCCTCATCAGTAGTATAAGATAGGTGTGCCTCACAGTAAAAACAATGATTAAGAAGTCCTATGGGACTAGAAATAGTCAATGCCCTTTTCTGGCATGCAAATGAAACAGCACACCCTCTTTAAAACACAGTGATTCATATGCCTTAAACAGAAGCCTGTGCTGTATCAGTTTATACTTGTAGTCTGTCTGATTTTGGGAACTACCAAAGCAGCTTACCTCCTACATGATGAGAGAATGAGGGGCACTGCACATTACATCTCTTTTTTTCTGATGTGCGTATTCTGCATTCTTTTATGCAAAAGTTTTTTCAAAGCAAAGACAAGTAAAGTTTTCATTAGGATCTATAAATCTTCTTGGAAGTACTGATAAGGAGCCTTTCTGTCAGACTCAGTAGGACCGGGGCGGGCGGTGGGGGGAGCATACACCTTTGAGTACACTTTTGAGTGAGTGGCGTGGTGCTTTTCAGAATGCTAATCTATGCCTGGATTTGGGTGGTCCAAAATAGAGTTTAAGGATGGGGTATGGTCCAAAAGTTCCAAAATGTATTGTCTGGAGAGCTGTGAGCTATTCTGTTACTCTACACATACATTCCTGTTACACTCTCGTGTCATTAAAGAAGCAATTCTACTGGCCAAAGCCTCAAACCTAAGCAGGTAAGCACCAGGCATTTCTAGAGTCCAGAGCAGACTTCAGTTTTGTTGCTTGAGCAATGCAGTGCTCTTCAGGCTGCTGATTCCTGGTTGTTATCTTGTACTGTAGTCTTTGAGAGCAAGTAATTGTAATGCTGTGAGCAAAGTAGACCGACTGCAGTCATTTGCATGGTGAATTTCACCTTACTCTGCTAAGAAAGAAACAAAGCCAATGCTATTGCTTGTATTTACATTTCTTTTGGGAACATATGTTTTTCTTTGAGACTTCTGTCAAGCTGCCATTTTGATGTTTGGCATCAGAGTTTGTGACTCTGATCAGGAAACTAACTTCTGCACATCTTTTCATTATTATTGATCTGATCAGAAAAGATGAATCTATCATAACTGTATTAAAACACTGATATATCCTAGTTCTTGTGAATTAGTCTGTTTCCTAGGTAGCCTTTCTTTTAAAATAAAAATCTTGTTGGAAATACTTCAATCAGAAGAGAAACCAGAGAGCAATGAACGTCTAAATCCACCAGTGACTCATTTAAGCTATTATGTGGTAAAATGGGTAGGCTGTGTTCACGGAATGGCAAGCACTGTCATAAACCCATAACTGTATTTGCCAGATACAGTTAACTTGCCATTGCATAGTCTTAAGTAAATGGCATATTTAAGAAAGATAATTAATGAAACCATAAGTCACACCAATTAGGTCTTATGTACGAGACTGATTTGTAAACCTTTCCTAGTAAACAAGCCTTTGCTTTCCTTATGAAGTAGGTGGGGGGTTTTCTGTTTGATTTCATTTTTAGCAGATACTTATCAGGGAAGAAGTTTCCTTTTATGAGAAGCAATTGCATAGATCAGTACATGTGACGTATCTTTTTAACATGTTAATTTATGTCTAATGCTTGTTATACTCAGTTCTGTTTAATTATCATGGTACAAACACTCCAGGTAATGTTACCATTTTTCCTGGTGATTAATGTGGCTACACTGTGGGGTTTTTTAAAAGCCTGTTTTAATTTTTCTGGCTTGGGAATATTTTGTAATGAGAAACAGATTAAATATCAGTGTACAACAGATGAAGGAGGGATCTCATGCCATTTTCTGATGGCTTCGACACTGGAAAATCTCACAAGTATGGATTCCAGAGAGAATAGTGCTGGTGTTTATCAAAACCAGGGGAAAACAGAATTTGTAGGTGACTCACAGATATTAACTGACAAGGAGACTTTTAAAGTGGCAAAATAATCTGTCATCCAGCATGAAAATAAAGTAAGCATGCTAATTTGAAGTCTTAAGAGAGTAATTATGCAATGCTGAACTCAAGGACCCTGTGTCTGAAATGTGTTCTGTAGGGCCCAATACTGTAAAGCTCTGAGCTACTTCAGCTTCCATTGATTTCGGTCAGAATTGATGGTACTCCTAGACCAATTGCATTTCTTTCCACAGCAAGGGAAGACAGATCGTGGGTCAGATTTTTACTCTTTTACTGCATTGAATAGCACTCTTCAGAAATATTTTCACTGAAATCAGTCCTTTCCATTTAAACCTGTGGTATAAATAATCTGAAAAATGTCAGATGCTTTTTATTTCCTCACAGAAGTGCTTTTCTCTGGTTCTCTTCAGGGCTTTTGTTTGTTTGTTCTTTCAAACCTGCAATCACCTTATAAGCAAAGTGATACTGGTCATTATTGCTTTTGGCAGTGTAATCAAAGTATTTTCTATCTGTACATCTGGTTATGTTTGGCTCTGTACTGGAGCATTTTGCAACAGACATTGTTGGTTCCTGTGCAACGAGGCAGCGGCACACCTAAGCCCGGCATACCTGCACTTACTTGATCAAAAGCTGAAGGGTTTTGCAGGATGCCGTCATCAGGGCTTTGCATTTTTTCCGACTTTTATACACAGGGGTTTTAATAGTAATATTATCAGCACTTGTGATTTTTAGTTCTAAGCTGTTGTAGAGAAGTACTGATGTGTGTATTAACAACAAATGTTATGTGTTAAGGATGACTGAAAGATGACTGTGCCTGCTAATTAGGGTAAAGATTTTGAAATATACTCTGCTCTGGATCTTAGCAGACAACTGTGTCTTAAACAAATGTATGGGAAGAAGAAAAGCAATCCGGAAAAAGCAGCTCTTATAGTTAGTAGCATTTTCTCCCCTTTTTCCTTCCATTGAGTCTGTCTGAAAGTGGGTGTTTTAACATACAGCCATTTCTCGTTAACATGTGTGTGTTTATTTTAGCATGATGGTGTTGGTTTTTTTCATCTCCCACTCTGACACAGCATGTTTCATCCGTATATGGTTTCTACTATATGAGACATTTAAAATGGCTCAGTGAAGAAATGGATTCTTGTCACTTAAACAGTCACTCTCCAGATCTGTGGAAACTTGGTCATTTTAACAGTGTTTTAAATTCCGTGTGCTAGAAGATTGACTATAAAAATTGAGAGTGATATAATGTCAAGAATTTAAAGGTACTCTGTTGTACCTGTAATAATTTATGTTAATCATGTTTTAATTTAGTCATTTTCAACATACTTGTATTTACAAATTAAACCACTATTATGGTTCTCCTTTGTTTGCATGATATGATTTTATTTTATATTTTTTTTCCACTCACCAGATGTTTTCAACACTTTGCTTCCCACTACTGTCATCCCCTCCCTTACCACTGCAACAGTCACAACCACTGTAGCCTTAACAACCAGCACAACCACATCGGCAACAGCCATCAGCACCAGAGGTACAGTATGCTTCTTTGTTATGGCCTGAAAAACACGTGATAAATAGGAAATTATAGGCTTGATTTTTAAGGATAGAAATTGCTAAAGAGAGGGTTCCAACACTTTAGTTCAATATATATATTTAATAGAATAATCCCCAGGATGGTACATGGTAAAGAAAGGTTTCATATGACCTTGAATATTTTTATTGCTCTAGCAGTGTGTATCTGAACTTTGACAGGATGCTTAAATTATTTGTATACATTTGCATTTAATTTTTTTAAGGTTAGTAAATTATCTTTAATGTAAAACGCAAGCAAGCTATTTTTAAATAAACATGACCTTTTAAGACTGGTTATTTTGGGTGCTAATGTTTAAAACAAGATAGGTGTCTTGGCATTGGAATTACTGTTGATGCAGTCTTGCTTGATAACAAAGAGGCATGTCATTACATCACCCTTGTTAGTCTTTTACAGTTTAAGGTATTCCTATCTTAGGGGTGTCTTTATTTTACCAGAACTAGAGTAAATGAGCTTAAATGTCTCTCTCCCTTCCCCATCCTCTATCCTGTTGGGTTTTTGTCTGTTTAAATGTTTCTAGTAATGCTTTGCTTTGTTATGAGCAAAATATAAAGCTTAATTTTAGTGTTGTATTCAGTGACTGATCAGATAACTGTTCAATAGTGAAGATGTGTGTAAGGTGTTGCAGATTATCATCTTCTGGGTAGCTAATAATCTCTCATGGTGAGTGAAATGGCAGAAGGTTCCTGTGCAGTCTGCGGAAGGCTTTCGTTGCGCAAGGAGAGAGGAAATAACATTCACTTACCACTCTGCAAGTATTCACATGATGAGGTATAATTATGCCAGGAAAGTTAAGGCAGAGTTATGAAATCTTTTCTTTCTGGAAGCATTGTTACGAGTCAGTTGTAGTGACCTGCCTAGTTTGCAACAATAAGCGGAGCTACATGCAAGTCCATTCTATAAAGATTGTGATAGTATCAGATCAGCCAACTTCTTCCATAGGGCATTGGTATTTTAATATTGTAGGCTTCATGTAATAAACTGACATGAAACCTGAAATTACATTTTTAAGCTTTAATATTACTTATCGTGAAAAAAAAAAAAATGTGGTTTTAGGAAAAAGAGAAAGAGTGCCCTTTCCCTCCAGAAAAAAAGGGATAGACCATGGAAAACAGCCCAGTGCTCACAGGTCTGAGTAGTTGCAAGAGGAACATTTCCTGAATACTGGAAGGACAGAGTGCTTGGTGTGCCATGTTGCTGTTTGCTGTCCTTGATGGATTGTTTTCTTCTTCTTATGTGGTCATAACTGAAGTATGTCACTGATGTGATTGTATATTTAGTGTACCAATATTATTAAGGCATTCTGTTACCACATAAGTGTAGTTTAGGACCTCATTTTCCTTTACCCTGAAGTGTTCATTTTCATCATTCGTGTGCCCGGCATCAAGAGAAAGATCTGGAAAAGGAGAATCCTCTTCTAATTTTCAGCTCTAACACATATGAGAGTGCATGCAATTTGATGCTACAGTAACAAAGAGATACTGCTTTAAGAGGAAGTAAAAGAAGAAAATCTAGGTGAATGCGATCAATCACTAAAACATGAGCACTTGTTTTTCCCAGAAGAAGAAGTGAATGCAGCAAAATGGCTGAGAAAATGAGACCACTTCAACTTCAAGGAACTGGTAGATATGGTCTCTTGGGCAGATAATCTCAGAGACAAAGGAGTGTGGGAAGACTGTTTCTTGAAAAGCTTGTGTTGAAAGGAAAATGACAGTCTACCCCAATGCAGATGAAAAACTAGGACACATGTAATAGACTAATGAAGTTGTTTATCTAACAGTCTAAGAAATCAAAACCCACAAAAATGTGAAGCAAAGTTTACTATAAGCATAAGTCAGAGTATATCAGCGTGGAAGAAACGGGAAGGCATAAAATCAGAAACAACCAGATGCAAAAGTAATTGCAGCTAGCAAGGTGCGAGGAATTTAACAAAACAAAAGGGTTTAGAAATACATTAGATGAAAGACAAAAATAAAGAAATGTAGCAATCCTATTCATGAATGATTAGGACGAGACTGAAATAATTGGTGTTTTATCCAGCAATGGATGACAACCAGAGTGCTGTTTCTAATACGGGTGTCACACTGAAGGATGACCACAAATAGAGACAGAGCAAAGAACAAGGACGACAGGAAGTTTAAAGATATGCTCTCAAAGGAAGCTGAAGGCACCAGTTGGTTTGCTTTTGCTTTCAAAAAAAAAAAAAAAAAAAAGTATGACTGAGGAAGATTTATTTTCCAAGTTTAATGGGGAAAACAAATCCACTGAATTAGTGGCAAAGGTAGTTAGTGGGGAAGCTTTCTAAATGCATGCGAGGCAGTGACACAGTGTAGCTATTGAAGTTCTATGACTTCTTTCATCCTTGCTTCCTTTAAAAAAGCTTGATTGCCATGGCAAAGGGAAATGGACAAGATGCTCTCCTTAGGTCACTTCCTCCCCTATCTTTCTTGGACCCATAATGTTCACAAATTTACAGTGAATGTTGTGAAGGGAGAGTTCTGCCATCCTGAAATCCTAGGCTGAACCTTATCTAAATTGTCAGAGCATCTACACATCAGAGGGACAAGCCGCATAAGAGCCATTTTGGAGAGGCTCAGATTTCAGTAGTATCTGTTTCTGGCTGAGCAAAGAGTACCATATAAACATATTTTCCTTTGACACTTCTGCTTCTTATTCCAGTAAGATTTTTGACACGGAGGAGTATATAAGGACATAATTTGAGAAGATATTCACATATTTTCAACCTTCAAAACATTTTTTTTTTGTTGTGTTTTGGCTTCCAGGTACATTGGAAGCAGCATTTCTCTTTAGCTTACTTTATCGGAATTTGTTTGATTATGCCTTAAAGAAACAGAAGTTTGCCCCAGATCATAGGGTAGTACACGCTAATTAATAATACCTTTGAACTGGATTTCCAATAGCTAACATAATAGTCTTGCTGGACAGATTTCATTAATTCTATTCTAAAATTATTACTTGATACTTATGAATCAGCTTAGGTATATTTTACAAGACATTCCTTTCTTCTGCATGACTTTTACATAGTCCACCTTGAGGATATGTTACTCCACGTGCAGTCACAGGAGACGTCTTTACAGGAATATGATACAGAATATAAAAAGCCCAGAGACTCTGTAAATCTAAGGCATTTTACATCATGATTACCACAAGCCTGAATTAATGGGGGAAAAAAATCTCCAAACCATCATAATTTAATACTGGAACCATGTGACCCCTCTCTGTCTTAATTTGCATGGAATTTAGTAAACAACATGAAAAAAAGCTACTGATCCAGTTGGATGAGAGCATGGTAATTCATAAACATCCTGTTTAGTCAAACTTTTCATTTTCTCAGACAAACGTATGCTTGCTTTTGTGTTCAGTTCTTCAGGAATTAATTATTCTTTTAGTGGTACATTACCTACTAACTCAAAAAATCTAAACACAATTTGATGCTAGCGAAGAGTATTGCCCTTTATATATTTGTCAAGGGTATCTTAAAGCCTAATAACCATGATGAGAAATGTACGACAAAATGAGAATAAAACGTATGAGAAGAAACAATTCTAGTGAACTACGGAAAGAATAATTATACACTGCATGTGTAGTTTCCTTTCTATCAGATTTATGTAATGTTATTTGTGAAAGCTATGCATGGATCCATGCTAGTGTTCCCTTTTGTGACTGGGAAGAGGCACAAGAGGATTGTGGATTTGCCCCCAGTAGTGAAGGGCTGCCTCCCTTGGAGAAATTCTTTGTTAGCATAAAGTTAATTTAGATGGTTCTGTGCCAATCCTTCAAAGTCCTGTAGGTGGAGAGGGAGTGTGATTAACAGTCTAGGAGAAGCCACCTCAAGTCAGAACAGCTCTGTGTTTCTGGATTCACAGAGGAGAAAAGCTTGCGCACACAAATGTGCATAAAACCCTCCCACAGGCTGGCATTATGTTAATCACCTCCACACAAACACCCTGTGATTTTTTTCATTTAAATCCTTTTCCTCTCAAGGGGCTAAAAAAAAAAAAAAAAGTTAAAGAGGTTATAAAACTTGGTAATTTTGACTTATTATGGAAGATTAAAATCTCACCACCACCTCCCATATAGGTAGAAGAGTAACATTGCAAGAGCATCCCAGACTCAGAAGATAGATCCATTCAGTTCAATTGCATGTATCAGGGTGATTCAGTCTCAGCTGACTCACTTGTATAATGACTGTGCCAGAATGTTCAAAGCTTTATATAGCAATGCCTAAAAACATCTCCAGAAGTCATTGCGTATAGCAGAGACATGATGCTGCTCGCAGGCAGCTGCACTGTGAAGTTCGAGGGTTTATTTAATATTCAGGGTGACCACAAAGCCAATGAATGTACACATTTATATATTAATGAAATCCCTGCTTTATTATAATCCACTTTGCTTTTGGTTTTTTTGGCTCTGATATAAAAGAAAGATTACTTAAAGGAGATCTGTGAAGCTAAATTTAGAAGAAGAGTTTACAGTGGATTAAGGAAGGGTTTGAAGATGTGATCATTTTGAAAACTATTGTGAATTTAATTTAAGTGTGAATATTTCTATTTAATAGGATAAATTTCAGCCATCTTAGCTAAAAAATTACATTACTTTCTTTTTCTCCCATTTTTACCTCGGTGTCTATATGAGGGGGAAAAAAAAAAGAAAAAGACTAGAATACCTGTTTCATTATAGGCAGTTTAAATGCAGAAACTACTTGGACAGTACTTGTAGTTCTCAAGTTTTTCATATAAAAAATGTTAAGCATTACCAGTTTTTTCCTTGTGATTTCATTTTTCTTTCACATAATCTGATTAATATAACTTGGCACTTTGAGATATTGACAGAGAAAGAAACAACAAAGCAAGGAAAAGGTATAGAATATGTGAGAGACAAGGGAGATAAGGGTAGACATATCTTAAATATAGTTGTGT